AAGTCTTGAGAGGCGTGAAGAAATAAGGCTTACATACCTTCTAGGCTGAGGTTGTAAGTGGTTCAGCAGATATGGCATCCACAAACATGTCTAAAAGATTGAGCTATGATACAAAAGACTTGGCTATGTCAGTGAAAGAGGTCTGATCGAATTGTCGAAACAAAATTTGTTGGGTGGTGATAAGGTCGAAAAACTAGAGTTTTGTAAACCTTGTGTATTAGGTAAATCGTGTAGAATGAAGTTTAACAAAGGTAAACAAAGAACACATGGATCCCTTCATTACATTCAAGCTGATCTTTGGTGACCTGCAAGGAATCCTCCACACTCAGGTGCAAAGTATTTCCTATCCATAGTTGATGATTATTCCAGAAAGTTATGGCTATTCATCTAGAAGACTAAGGATGAAACTTTTAAAAATTTCAAAAGTTGGAAGACTCTGGTCAAAAACCAAACTGACAGGAAGGTCAATAGGCTAAAAACCGAGAATGGTATTGAATTTTGCAATGAGACTTTAGACAACTATTGTGCTATGTATGGTATTGAAAAACACAAAAATACTGCAGGGGCTCCCCAATAAAATGGTTTAGTTCAAAGGTTTAATCGAACCATTCTGGAAAAAGTGAGGTGCATGTTGGTAAGTGCAAGATTGAATAAGGTGCTTTAGGCAAAAACTGTTGTGACTACAACATACTTAATAAATATGTGTCCCTCGACAACCTTAGGAATGGAGACACCTAAAGAAGTCTGGTCGAAACATCCACCCAGTCTCGACAGACTTAAAGTATTTGATTGTTTAGCCTATGCTCATATTAGTCAAGACAAGGTCGAACCTAGAGCTATGAGATGTATGTTCCTTGGATACCCTGAATAAGTCAAAGCTTATATGTTGTGGAGCTTATAGCTAGGTCACAGAAGGTGTATCACAAGTCGAGATGTAGTTTTCAATGAAGCTAAGATAAATTTCAAGAAAACTGATGACATTGGTCAAAGTTTGAAGATCTTTGAGGAAGAGCTGGAACACGAAGAGATTTCTATTGAGGTGGATCATAGTGATACTGAATTGTATAACCCAAATGAATTCAAAGAAGAATCTCAAGTTGCTGATAAAGATGAGGAGACTGATAATGACTACCTGTTGGCAAGAGACAGGTTGAGAAGAGTCATTAAGCCACCTCAGAAACTTGGTTATACACACCTCATATCTTATGCCTTAATCTTTGCAAGTGAGGTTTTTGACGAAGAGCCTATAGACAATATGGAAGTTATGAGAAGTAGAAATAAGATTAAATGGTTGAAAGCCATGGATGATGAGATGAAATCTCTCCATGATAATAACACTTGGGATTTGATCGAGACACCTGCAGGGGCTAGGTTAGTCAGTTATAAGTGGACCTTCAAGGTTAAGGAAGGAATCGAATGAGTGATGTCGAAGTATTTAAGGCAAGATTGGTTGTTAGGAGGTTCACTCAAAAGAAAATATTGACTATAATGATTTGTTCTCACCTATTGTAAAGTATATATCCATTAGAATATTGTTAGCCATGATGGCAAAGTTTGACCTATAAATTGAACAGATGAATGTGAAGACAACCTTCTTGTATGGTGATCTAGATGAAACAATCCTGATGAGGAAATCTGAAAGGTATGTAAAAAAGGGAAAGGAAGATTATGCGTGTAGGCTAAATAGGTCATTGTATGGTCTGAAAGAATCTCCTCGACAATGGAATAGGAGATTCGACAAGGTCATGACACACATTAGTTTCACTAACAGCTAGTTCGACCATTGTGTTAACTTCAAATTTTGACTTGGATATTCACTTGTTATTTTGTTGCTTTATGTGGATAACATCCTCATAGCAAGCAACAATGTCGAAGATGTTATGAAGGTGAGGGCTGAACTCGATAAAGAGTTCGACATGAAGGATTTAAGTGTTGCCTCCAAAATCCTTGGGATTGACATCCGGAGAGATAAAAAACATTTGAAATTATGCTTATCTTAAGAGACATGCCTAAGGAAGATTATCGACAAGTTTGGTATGTCAAATTTAAAGCCTATTCTAACACCGACTAATCCTCAGTACAAGCTAAGTACGACTCAAAGTCTTAGTGCTAAAGTCGAAAGAGCTTATATAAATATCATTTTATATGCTAGTATAATAGGTTCTTTGATGTATGTTATGGTCTGTACGAGGCCAGACCTGACGTATAGACTGGGCCTTGTAAGCATGTATATGGCCAATTTTGGGAAGATGCACTGTCAAGCATTAAAATGGATCCTTAGGTACATCAATGGGTCTCTGAGCATAATCCTAATTTATGGTGGAACATGTGGTGAAAATAGTAAAGCAAAAATTAAAGGGTATGTCAACACTAATTATGCCGGTTGTATGGATTCCAAAAAATCTATCTCTGGATATGTATTCACTATATTTGGCACAACAATCAGTTAGTAAACAACACTTTAGAAGGTTGTTGCCTTATCAACCATTGAAGCGAAATATGTCGCCCTCACTGAATATGTGAAAGAAATATTGTGTCTTGAAGGCTTTGCTAAGGAGCTAAAACTTCAAGGTCGAGTTATCACTGTTAAATGTAATAGTCAAAGTGCAATACATCTGTCGAATAATTCAGTCTTTCATGAGCGAACCAAACACATCGACGTGAGGCTGCACTTCGTCAGAGACATAATCGAGCGTGGACAAGTCCAAGTGCTGAAGGTTTTGACTGATGACAATGCTGCTGATATGATCACCGACATTGCCAAATAGCAAACTTTTCCACTGTATGCAATTGATAAAGCTGCATGAAGAAAGACAGTTTGTTCTCTTGATGTTATAAAAGTTGTTCCAAGGTGGAGATTTCTGGTATTTGGATCGAACTCTAGTATCAACAAGGATAATTTCATGGTTCAACAGGAGTTGTGCATGCTGAAGTCGAAGTCTGCTCAAACATACTGTCGAAATATGTTAGTTTTGGGTTTAAGTTATTATGTTGAATTGAGTATTGGTTGTAAGCCCAATTGTTAAGTTAGCTTGTAGCCTAAGTTAGCTTAGTAGTCTATAAATAAACTAGTTCTCTCAAGTTGTTGAGAGAGGTTAATTGTTGGTATTTACTTGTAATATTTGAATCCTTATTGAATAAGTGAATAGAAAAACAATTTTAAGGAATTCTTATTCTTCTTCTTCTCTATCTTTTGTAAAATCTAATATGATTTATTGTGTTTATTCAATAAACTCAATCTTTTTCTCATATTTTGACTTATTTTTGACGATATCAATTCACAACATAAAAAAACTAGTAGTTATTTTAAAATTGTGTTATGTATTATAAAATAATTGACTTATTTTTTAGAAAAATGAAATATTAAACTGTATTTAATACAATATTAATAAATTTTAAAATTCACTTACATGCAATAGAAAAAATTAAAAATTAAACTATTGATTCAAATATTAAAAAATAAAAAATTATCTATCATTTTCTTAAAATATGTGATTAAATGTGCATACCAAATCATTTTTCATACCACAACAAAAATAATCTTTATATAAAAGAAAAGTCTAAACATTTTTAGAAACGAAATTATTGTTTCAAAATAAATATATATTTTATATAAGTCAAAATAAGTGTACTGCTAGTCTAAATATTATTATAAATAATACATAAATAAAAATAATATTTGTATATGAAAAAAATATATCATAATTTAAATATGTATTATTTATTAAAAGTTATATAATAATCAAATAATAATTGAATATATGTGTTATTCTTAAATTTTTTCTTTTTTTAATTTTTATTTTTTTATTAATGCAGGTTGAAAACCATATCTCGTTAAAAAAAACGTGTCCACCCATATGTTAGTTATTAATTTTCTCATATAAAGAGAAGTGGTAAATTCTAACTAATTGAGCTTGATAAAGATGGTTAAATATTAAACTTTAAAAAGTGCTAAATTTTGAAATGAGATAAATTGGAGAATATAATGTGAACTCAATGTTTGGACATGACCCCACTCTCTCATTATTACACTTCTCTCCAACCCTAATCCACAAAGCAAACTAAATAATTAAAATTTATAAAATTGATGTCAATTTCTTTCTCTCTCCACATCAATCCATCTCTCTTTCTCTCTCATCCTCTCTGCAACAATACCAACTCTCTCACAAAACTTTTCTACACTTTTTCACAAGCAATCTCTTAAAGAGAAAAGAAAAAATAAATTAAATATAGAAAATCCAAGGTTTTCTCATTCAATCCAAATCCAATATTCTTCTTCATTTCTCTTCCTTCTTTTGAAACCCCTTTTTACTGTGCTTCAAAGTTTCGACCTTGATCTTCTTCACCCAACTTCATAGTCTCTTTTTCATTCAAATTTTAGGGTTTTCACTGTTACTGGGTCATTTTCAAGTTCATTCCTTCGATGGATTTTCGCAGTGTTTGGTCTTAAATGGGTTAAAGGGTCAAGGTTTCTAGTGTTAGATTTTTCAGTGGGGTCGTGGAAAAAGTAGAGGAATCACATTGTGTTTTGTGTAAAAAGGGAGGGTTTTTATCTACGTGATAAGATGTTGCTTTGTGTTCTTTTGTTTTGGGGGCTTTTATGAACAGTGGTTGCTTTTTTTGGAAGCTTATTTCGGAAGCAATTTACTTCACTTTTGAACGTGATGGATAGTATTTAGTGCTATCATGGACTCACACATTGTTCTCTTTTGATCCATTTTTACTTTTTTTTTCTTTTGGATTTCGGCTCATTTTTACTTGTGAAACCCGTGAAATTTCTCTCTTTTATTTATGGTGTTGGAGTAGTTGGTATATTAATTTAGTGAATTTTGGTAGATCAGGCTGGTTTATTTTATGGGTAGCATTAATGATTTAGCATCAGAATATTTTGGATATAAGGGTCATTGGAATCATGGTGATGGTTATCAACAGATTTTGATGATGTTTCAGTTTTAGTCATAGGATTGGGGTTTCTCGGGGTGGAATCTGAGGCCATAGTGATGGAGGACATATGGTTGTTCAATCAAGTTTGGCAATGGGTTAGGTCCCGAAAAGATGCCTATTGGCGTGCTCGAACTGTGGTAGTTTGTTGTAGAGATAGAACTGCGATGTTTATGGAAAGGCATTGGCCTACGGTGTGTAAGGGTTGCTCAAAGTTGGGGAGCTTACTTAGGCTGTCATTGATTTTTTGGAAGGATTCTGCTCTAAGGGGGTTTCAATCGTTCATTAGATTTGGTCCGGTGATGCTCTTGCTTATAATGTGGAGCTGTTTTCTTAGTCTGACTTCGATGTACTGCTTGGTTTATGTGCTTGTGAGTATGGTATGTATTTGTTTTCAACCTGTCTGATTCTTTGTTCTTGATGTTCTTGTAATTAGCCTCAAATGAGTTCTAAATATCACGGAAAATTTTTATTTATAGATTTGTTTGCATTAGTTCAATTCGATAACTAATACTCTTGCAAAGAATTCAGTGCTTCTCATGGTTCAATTGAATGCTTCAGGTTACTGCTGGCGTTGCGATCCAATACTTGGGTTATACTCCTGGGCTTTTTATCGTAGGGCTTTTTGCTATCCTTATTTTGTGGATGTATGCTAACTTCTGGATCACAGGATTGTTACTCATAGTTGGAGGTATGATACTTTTATTATTGTTCTGATTTTCAGACGTGTTCTCTTAGTGACCATGATAAAATAAGAGAAAACATGCCGATTGTTTTATCATATTGTTTGCACTCCACGGTTAAAATTGTGAGCAATTTGGTAAGATCGCACAATCCTATGAGTTTTTGCCCCTAAACCGTGCTGGATTACCTATGGGATCAGGAGCTGTTGAGAACAAATTTGAATTGCAATCAAATTGGATGACCCTCGGCAAGCCTTGATGAGCTGGGCCGAACTTAAGCACCCCTTTAGTCCTGCGACACCCTTCCACCACTGCTGCTTTGCGCAGGCTCTGCCATGACGTTGCGTTGCTTCCTCTTTATCACCGCACCTTATGGCCAATCCCTCCCGTGGTTTCTAGACTATGGATGGCCTTCTTTCATTTGCTCTGATTGTGCGCTGTATCACCTGATAGCCACCGTTGAGTTTCTGGACTTTATGAACTCTAGATGGAGCCTTTTAGTGTTAGCTATGTTATTATTTTGCTTCTGTCAATTTGTTTTATTTTTAAGGTTGGGCTTAGCCTATTTATTGTGTTTTATTTTCTGTTGCATGCTAGTTTGGGTTTGGCCCAGTTTCATCATTTACGTTGTTAGATAGCTCTAATTAGCTTAGATTAGTGAGTTAAAAGGAGTTGGAGGTCCAGGGTTCAAGGCCTGACAATGGTGTAAATATAATACCAACAATTTGCCATTAAAAAAAACCTAGCTCTAGATTAGTTCTAATTTGTATTTTAGGTAGGATCGTACGATTTGTGCTACAATCCTTAAGTTACAATCTTTCTCTCTTCCTCTGTATTCTAGGTAGGATTTGTGTTTGACAAGATTGCAACTACAACAACCAAGCCTTATCCTACTAAGTAGGGTCAGCTACACGGATCAAACTTTGCCATAATGTTCTATGAATACCATGCTTCTATCCAACTCATTAATCTCAAGTTCATTTTTAATAGTTCTTCTTGTAGTTCTTTTAAGTCTTTCTTCTACCTCTAGCGGTTTGATTACTCTCCATCTAATCTACTCTCCTTGCTACAGGATCTACTTGTCTTCTTTCTATATGTCCAAACCACCGTAGACTAGTTTCCACCATCTTTACACCATGGATACAATAAATATGTTCATACTTGAGGCAATATGCTTCAATTGTATGACTACCACTCCTTTGTATTGGTCTTTGATGTTTCTTCATTTTACAACTGTACCCCAACCAAGGGGATTGGCTTCTATTTAGAGTGTGTTTGGAAAACTGGGTTTTTATAGTCAGGATGCCCATGCATCAAACTCCACAATTCCTAGCTTCTACGATTCCATGGTGAAAGTGCACTAGGATGCAAGAAATGAGAAATGGATGTGCATCCAAACATATGCTTAATGTCTCTATTTGATTTGAAAGTTTGTTATTAGCTATCATCATTCATGAAACTATGTCCGGTTCCAGTTGTCGCTCTATGACAGCAAAAACACATATCTATTTTTGTTGCTTAATAGAATATTTATTCATTTTTTTGTCCTTGTTAGGAGTTATTATAATGAAGTCATTAGAAATTTGTCTCTAGTATATAGCCCACATATATTTCTTAAGTAATTCTCAACCAAATTTTTATGATATAATATTAATAGATTGTGTTTTCAATCACGAATGCAGGTTATTTGTTCTCCCTAAATCATGCACGCTTGGTGGTATTAATTGGAACTGCATATGCTATGTATTCTGTTCAAGTAAAAGTGGGATGGCTGGGTGTTATCCTTGCCGTAAACCTTGCATTTCTTTCAAATGACATTTTGAATTTTCTGCTCCAATTATTTGACAACGTGAGTGAAAGTCCGCATTCTGAAGAGCAGAAGCAATCAGAACCAATTCCGGAAGATGACTTTGTTGAAGCGTGTGAATATCCTATCCCACCGGTTGAATCTGAGAATTTGCAGTCGTGCAAATCGTCCAGTAAACCACCCGCTGTCATCGCATCAGTTGTTGATAAGCAGAAAGAACTTTTGGTCAATAAAGTTGTTAGAGAGCAAACAAATTCAATTGATGAAATGAGAAGGATATTGAAGAGTCTGAATCATTATGAAGCCCTTGGATTTAACCGACACAAAAAGATTGATGCAGCAGTTTTGAAAAAGGAATACCGCAAAAAGGTATTTATTATCAAAATATTTCACAGGCTTTTCACCTTTCTTTTTATTTTTTATTTTTATTTTTTATGTATTTGTAGTATTGGTTAAGAGCATATCAATTATTAGAAAAAAAATAGAAATGAAGACAACATCCGACCGGCTTGTTTATGATATTTTGCGAGGAATATTCCCATTCTTTTTTTATTTGATCATGTAGGCTATGCTCGTGCATCCTGATAAAAATATGGGCAGTTCCATGTCAAGCGAGTCATTTAAGAAGCTTCAATGTGCATACGAGGTAAAGTTCTATGTAAAAGCTGCTGAAGCTATCTTTATATTTGATATGTAGGCATTAAATGCATATGAATTCCATGTTATAATCTGTAAGACATAAATATTATGACATTTTTCCAGGTTCTTGCTGACTCTGTGAAGAAGAGAGACTATGATGAACAATTAAAAAAAGAAGAATCCATGGCTAAAAGTGTTTGCCAGAAATCCCACAGTAGTTCACATCAGGTAAATTTCACAATATTCTTGTGAATGGCCGACATATTCTACTTGAGCTCTGCACATAGAGTCCGTAGAATCTTGTGTATGATCTTTATTAGAAAAATAGTGATGATACATGTTTTCTCCTCAGGATAATACTGAATATCGTTCCGAAGAATCCAGACGGATACAGTGCACTAAGTGTGGGAATTCACATGTTTGGGTGTGCACTAACAGAAGTAAGGCCAAAGCAAGATGGTGTCAGGTCTGATTTTGATCCATTACATCCTGATTATTAAATTCCTTCTTTCCCTCAACTTCATGCCCACTTTACATGAATTTTTCATCTTATCTGGAAACAGGATTGCTGTCAGTTTCATCAAGCGAAGGACGGTGATGGATGGGTCGAATATAAGGGGTCTTTAGTTTTTGACAGGCCTCAAAAAGTAAGCAAATAATTTTCCCGACTTCATTTCATTATTTGCATTTAGTTTCTGAACATTGATCTTGTCTTCACAGGTGGAAATCCCCCGTGCTTTCGTTTGTGCGGAGAGTAAAATATTTGACGTATCGGAATGGGCTATATGTCAGGTCAGTATACTCTACAAAAGATATTCTCGGTACACATAATTCATCAAGACTGAGAAGGATTGTTTTTAGCTCCACTTTCTTTACCTGACAAACGTTATATCATGCAGGGAATGGCTTGTAGGCCTAACACCCATCGGCCAAGCTTTCATGTAAACATGGTTGGCTTAGAGAAAAGCCAACGCTGCAACTCAAGTAGATTCCCATGGGATTTGGACGCAGAAATGATGATGGACGAAGATGAAGAGGCGTTTGACCTGTGGCTTCAGCAGGCTTTAGCATCCGGTCTCTTTTGCGAGTCTTCCAAACGCAGGAAGAGTTGGAGTCCATTCAAATTGCCTCAAAAGAAAGGGAAAAAACAATGGCGAAGAACGTCGTGCTGAAAAGCTCAATAGGGAAAATTCATGGTTCATTGCCTTATCCCTAAGGGATTGGATGGAGTAAACATTTTGTAGAAGAAAATCAAAATGGATTGTTGAGAGATCAAAACTAAAAGGAATTGCTAGCAACACTCAGAACAAGATGAGTCATGGGAGAGCCTTGTGTGAATTATCACATTGCTCATATTCAAGGTTTTCAGAACTGGCCTATTGTATTCTTGTTGTTCTTATGTTAGATTAGAAGGTACTCTTTTTCGATGCTTACTAAGGACTACTCTTTGTCCTTTGTATATACATGCTAATAAAAAAAATTATCATTTGCCTTCAAATTTGAGTTATGTTACAACTTTTGTGTACTTCTTCAAACTCCTTTCTGTTTTAATGACTTGCATCTTGAAGAAGAGAGTTCTATATATTTAGAGAAATATATGCTTGGCCAATATAAAAAATAAATGTATTTTATCCTCTATTTTGTGATATTATTAGGGTATATACTATTAAATATAAGATGCATTAGTTCAAATTTTTCAAAGACTTAGAGTTCGAAATTTGCGTGTGATATACTTTTTTTTTTGTAAAATATTGATATTTACACGGCAATGCAAGTGAAAGGTAGAAAATAAAATAAATACCATTTGAGAAAAAACAATATAATGTTTTTGCTTTGATGTTCATATTTTATTGGTATCCATATTTTTTTTATAAGCAAAAATATATTAAAAGAGACGCATAAACGGGTACTTCAACTCAACAAACCAACAAAGAACAAACCAACGAAACAAACCATCAGAACTAACCTACCATTGAAGAAGCTGTTAACAAATGATATCGCAACCCCTAGAGATCAACCCCAACTGCTGCTAACAACAATCAAAATTCCACCAAAATAAAACCAGAAACATAGCGGCCTACCAATACTATCGAAGATAATAGATAAAAAAATTGTTTTTTCTTATTCTTGAGCTGGTTTATATAGTGAAAATATAATCATCATAATTAATTCTCTTAATAATGGAGAATAAAGAAAAATAAACGAGAATAAATAGATATAGGGCTGTTTTACTTTTAAAAAAGTTTTTTTTTTTTTTGTAATTTTGAAAATAAATTTTACAAAAATGTTTTTTAAAGTAGTATAACTTTTTCTAAATTTATTTTTTATAAATTAAAAAATTAATTTTGACATATTAAAACATAAACATACATTATTGAAGATCAGAACATAAACATACAATATTGAAGATCAAAACTTAGTCAAATCATAGTTTTTTCAAAAAAATTGTATCTCAAAAATAATTTTTACGAAAAGCTATATGAAAATTTTAAATTAATTGATTTTTTGAAATTTTGATATTTAAAAAAAAAGTTTCAATAAAATAATGAAATGCATAAAATAACATTTTAAGAATAATTATTCAAACCAAATTTTCATTTGAAACTTTTATGAAAAGTTTCTTTGTAAAGTTTTTTTACACTAAAATATGTTACACTATAAATTTTTATTTTTATTTTTAAAACAAAACAAGCGGGTCTATAATCAAATGGGGAAACAAAATATTTTCCAACACCCCCATCAAGTTGGGGCATAGATATCTATCATGTCCAACTTGTCTATCAAATGCTCGAAGGTAGGTCTTGCCAAATTTTTGGTCAGGATATCCGCAATTTACTGACTTGAAGTTACAAAAAAGTAGACATATGATTCCAGCATCTAACTTCTCCTTTATGAAGTGCCAATCAATCTCAATATGCTTGGTTCTGTCATGTTGAACTGAGTTATTAACTATGCTAATAACAACTTTATTGTCAGAGTATAATTTCAATGGAAGCTCAATTTTCATCTTAAGTTCTTATAGGATTCTAAGGATCCATAATCCTTCACAAATACCTTGAGACATAACTCTAAACTCGACTTCTACACTACTTCTTGTTACAACTCTTTGTTTCTTACTCCTCCATGTCACAAGATTACCCCAAACATAGGTACAATATCCTGAGATTGATCTTCTATCTGTGATTGACCCCATACAAAGACTTATTTAGCTTGCATATATTTGATCCAATTTTGTTTTCAAATCCAGGAGGAATGTCCATATATACTTCTTCTTCTAGATCGCCATTAAGAAAGACATTTTTAACATCTAACTGATGTAGGGGCCAATCAAAGTTAGCAACAAGAGATAAAAGAATTATGACAGTATTGTTCAATTTTGCAACATGAGCAAATGTCTCTGAGTAGTATATAGCATGGGTCTGGGTAAAGCCTTTAGCCACCAAGTGAGCCTTGTACCTTTCAATTGACTCATCTGAATTATACTTCTCAATAAACACCCATTTGCATCCAAATGTCTTCTTGTCGCCTGGTAGTGTCATAACACGCTGAGCTTTGTTCTTTTTAAGCACTTTCATCTCCTCAAGTACAACTTCCTTTCACTTTGGAATTTCTAGAGTAATCTGTACATTTTTTGAAATTTCTGCAATAGACAATTTTGAGGTGAAGGCAAACAGAGATTAAGACAAATTTGAATATGATATAAAATTGGACACGGGGTGTTTAGTGTAAGATCTAATTGGTTTTCTAATAGAAACATGATCATTTATATCAGGATAAAAAATACGACTCTTAGAAAAAGAGATAAACTTACCTTTCCTTTTCTTAGGAGGTTGATCATTCCCCGGTTCAAATTCCTGGCAGTGTTGAGATGTGGACTCGTCGTCCCTTCCTTTTTGGTGTTTTTTCACAAAAAACATTCTCTTTCCAAGTCCTGTTTCCTAATTCAAATATGTTTTCTTGAAGTGACTCATTATTTTATGACATTTCAATTAGATCATCATTATCATCGTTTTCAGGATTCACATTGTTTTCTAAAAGAGAAAATGTAGGCTCAGATTCACAAAGTTCCTTACTCATAACAGGAGTAGGATCAGATAAAGAATCATAGCCATTTTCTGTTGGTGCAAATGTATAAGTCTCAGAATTTTGTGATACAGGAAAAGATAAATTATTTAAAAAACTCATGTCCTCGATTTGAAACGAGTCTTCCTTTATATCCCCCCTTGAAGATGAGTATCATAAAAAAAAGGTTTATTTTCAAAGAATGTAATGTCCATAGTGACAAATATTTTCTTCTTTTTTGGATCAAAGCTTTTATATCCTTTTTGGGTTGGGGATTATCCAACAAAGATACATTTTATAACACGTGGTTCAAGTTTTCCAACATTTTTATGTTCATGAATAAAGGTTGTGCAACCGAATATTTTTAATGTCAAATAAGTAAAAACACTTGTACCAGGAAAATATTCTTTGAAGGTATTAATCGGAGTTTGAAAATTGAGAATTTTGGAGGGCATTCTGTTAATTAAATACGCAGTTGCTAAAACAGGTTCGTCCCACAAATAATTTGATACTTTATTCAAAAAAACTAAAGCTTTAGCAACCTCTAATAAATGCCTATTTTTCCTTTCGGCAACTCCATTTTGTTGAAGAGTATTAGGACATGAACTTTGATGTACAATATCATTTTTTAGAAAAAAAATTATCCAGGATAGTGTTAAAATATTATTTTCCATTATCACTTCTAAAGACTTGGATATTTGTTTGAAATTGGGTCTGCAACATTGTAAAAAAAAAATCTTTACAACCTGATAAACATTTGATTTCCTAACAAGTACACCCAACACACTCTTGTATGGTCATCTATAAATATGATAAACCATTTTTAAGAGAGGGTGTACTTGTACGTTTAGGGCCCCAAACGACATTGTGAATAATAGAAAATGGTTTTTATGGTTTATAAGGTTGTATAGAAAATTGGAAGCGATGATGCTTTGAAAACTCACATGCTTCACATTTAAATGAATAACAGTTCTTATTATGAAATAACTTAGAAAACAAGTGTTTTAAGTAACGAAACTAGGATGACCTAATCTTAAATGTCATATCATAATGTTGTCATCTTTATTATTAAAAAAAGACTCAAAGCAGGAACTTATTGTTTTTGAAGGTAGTTGTGATGTAGATCAAATGTAAACATAGTAGATTCCTCCACTCTTCTTAGCACTATCAATCATCTTTCGTGAGTTCAAATCCTGAAAGACACAGTTGTTGTACCCCAAAATTTGACCAACCATTTCTTGTACTTGGCTTATGTTTCATTTCCATTTTAGCATCTTGCATTTTGCATAGCATTGTTCTTACAGGGGACCAAGAGATTGTTTATGTGTCATCCAAGAGGAGAGTCTTATTGGCTTCAAGTTCAAGCAAAGGCATTGGTACAAGTCTTTAAGTGTGTAGTATCATCATGAAGTTGTGAAAGCTCCTTGAGAGGAGAGATGTGCTATAGCTCCTTGGCTGAGAATCATAAGAGGATTTTGACAAGAGTTCATGAGGCTCTATCATTGGTGTGAGCATGGGTTAGATATTTTTTGAGTACCTTAGAGGCTATTGTGGATTTGGAATGGTCATTCAATTCATCTGCAAAAGGGCCTAGACAAAGGGCATGAAATTAGGGTTTCAAAGATAATCAGTCTAGACTTATTTCTTCGAGCAAAACTTGTTCCCATGATCTTTCATATGTCCCAAGGTGTTTAGAGGTAGAAAATTGATCGTCAATTTCAACCAGAAGAGCTCCAATTGGTCAGTCAATTGCAAATCAGGAGATTTAGGGAAAAAGTCAATTGTGCAGTGAAAAAGTCAACTTATGACTTTTTAAGGTCAAAATCATGTTCCTCAAGTTCGATATGGATAATGGGTGAAATTTGACCAAGAAATGTCAAAGGGATCATGAAAAATCAAGAAGTGTGAAACTTGCCACTTTTGGAAAATTAGGGTTTTAGAGACTTTCCATTTATGGAAAGTTTCATGTGTAAACCAACCACTTTCCAAGCCATTTTTATTCATGGTCAAGGTTTCAAATGAACTTTTATCCAACATCATACTTGTTCCTCATATTCTGAGCTTTCTTTTGAGTACCAATTCATCATCATGTGACGCTTGAAGCTAAAGT